AGTTTATAAAAGCTGAAATAGAAGAAGGAGAAGAATTGCTGTTCAACTTTAATTCCCAACGACGTGTTTCCATCGCACAATAACTTTACAATATCTTATTTCTCTTTTGAGGTTATAACTTTCTTATTTATATATATATATATATATATATATATATATATATATATATATATATATATATATATATATATATATATATATATATATATATATATATATATATATTGTGTACGATCCACCTAATTTACATACTGGAGTACCGCCCATATAAATATGGGTTGGTACCGGGAAGACGGGTGAAGGGAGGAACAAGAGATCCAATCCAGAGACTCTGCCCGACTGCGATTAAGTCAACCCATTCTACAAGAACAGTCTTCCCAAGAATATACCAAAACTAACTGTAAATATTGTGTACCTTTTCCTTGTTTCAATACATTTTGTTTACGTACATTTTGTGTTGTATTATTATTATTATTCCATGCTTATCCAAGTTTCAACAATATATATATATATATGTGTGTGTGTGTGTGTGTATGTGTGTGTGTGTGTGTGTGTGTGTCTGTGTCTGTGTCTGTGTGTATGTGCAACTTAAAAAAGGATCTCTATAACTATATTACTCTGTGTATATTTACAATATGATGGATGAACAACCCTCCATGTTTCTCACACCATCAATTTATTGTTAAAATTTCTTATAGTAATAACAAACAAATATTATCATCATTTCAACTTGAAGGCACACTGCAAATCAGTGTCATTTCTCATCTTAACTTCGTTTCTAACTATGCCCGTCTGCTGAGATCCATTTTTGTTTTATCAACACCCTCAGAGCCAACCAGTCGTTTATACTGCAACTATGCTGAGTGGACCTGAATTACTGTTCAAGTATGTGTCCCGTTTGTTATAGCTCAAGTATGTGCCTTATATGTGTAGAAGTTCAGTCTGTTCTTTTTAAACCACAGCTGGTGGAGAAGATTTGAATGGTTAATTTTTTTAGCGGCATTTCGAATTCTTTAGGTTATTTGATGACAAAATCTAAATAATTTGAACATTATAATTATATGGCTTCAACTAAATATATTTTCAACGGAATTGTATACTTTCAGTTACAGATAAAATGTATTCCTTGTTATTTTGCTTTCAAAATAAATTGGCTATAAATATGAATTGTTGGTCCTTTTGTGTATAAAAATATATTGCTGGTATTTTTACTATAAAAATGTATTTTTATATTTTCGACACTATTTGCCCTTATTTGAGACCCTGGAGAGATGGTTTCATACCTTTACCAAAGGTATTTGTGTGAAAGTGAATGTAAATGATTTCTACTAGAATTCGAACTCGCCTCACTGATATCTCGTTCCGAACCGCTAACCATTACACATCTGCAAATTCTAAACAGATTTTATGTGCTGAAATTCCTGTCCTATATAGCTATATCTTGATTTTTTTTCAATCTCTGTTAGTTAATTTCAATTTTATTGTGAAAACATTGAATTGCATAAAAAACCTGACATGGCCTTAGTGAATTACATTGCAAGTGAAAGGAAGTAAAAAAAAATGTCATTCAATGTAGTTATTACATTTCCTCCTCCTCCTCCTCCTCTTGCTGCCACCAAGCAAGTCAAGTCATCTCCTTGCAGCTCACTTGAATAATCATGCGTATCACGTGATCTTCTAGGCTTCCCAAAACGGTGGTGAGTACTTCCGGTTGCATTGCTTGTCCAAATGTCGTTCATGGCGTCCGCAAACAATAAATACAAAGCAAATGTGTGAGAATCTACGGAGCTGACATTTTTCTTTTTTTTAGTTGCTTTCTTCTCATTATTTCAACGAAGCAGCGTCTTATGTTCCTATGTTCAATGGGTAAACATTTTTCTTAATTTTTCTTTCTTCGTTCTGCGGAATGACTTGCTTTCATCTTACGTATTTTTTAATCGCCCTCTTTTGTTCATTCGGTTATTTTATTTTATTCTATTTTATTTTCATTTACTTCATTCTCTTTCCTTTCCTTCCCTCTTGTTTTTCTCTTTCAAATTTTTTCTCCTCCTTTCATCTTTTTTCTTTCATCCTCTCAATTTTTCTTTTCTTTCGTTTTCTTTTTGTTATTAAATTTATTTTTCTTCTTTTTTTATCTTTTTTTCGTTTCCCTTTCTTCTTTCTTTGAATTTCTCTTACTCTCTTTTCTTTGTTCCAATGTTTTTTTATTCTTTCCTTTTAATTGCTTAAGTTTCACTTTCTGCTACCCTTCTCTTTCTTCGTCCTCTTTTTTTTTCATTCATATTCACTTTCTCAATTTTCTTTTTCCATATTTATTTATTTCCCGCGTCCCTTCACTCAATTTATCCACCATCTTACTTTTGTGAAATCTGCAGTTACCGAAAAAAAAACACAAATGATGTTTATTGAAACATATTGCGCTTGAAGCTACACTGTCTCACTGAAATCTTTTAGAAACATTAGAGGCTAGAAGGTCTTTATTTGGCTTCAGATTAATCTGTTGTAGAAGAAAAAAAATAGAGTTAAAAGTTGAATCAATAACTTCGTCTACCGCAAGGAAAGTTAGTTCTATGTCGCGTCAGAAAGTTTTTCTCGCCTAAGTCCATCCTTCATATCTATAAATCAACCTTTCGCTCTTGCATGGAATACTGTTGCCATATATGGTCTCAAGGCCCTCGACAATATCCAGAGACGGATATGCAATGTGATTGGTCCTGATCTGGCATCTCGTCTACAGTCACTTTCTCACAGACGTGCGGTCGCTTCCCTCTGTCTTTTCTACAAATACTTTCAATTGCTCCGACGAGCTACTTTCGCTGGTTCCCAAACTGCACGAATTTAAGTGTGCTACTAGGTTGGCATCTCAGATACACCCTTTCACTGTCGAAACAGTTAAATGTAGCCGTCTCTTCTGTTCCAATAGCTTCATGTCTCGCACTTCCCGTGTGTGGAACTCCCTTCCTCTTACTTGCTTCCCTGATAGCTATAATATTAAATTATTCAAATGCAATGTCAATCGACATCTTCAGATGCCTTGATCTAATGCCCCCCTTCTTCTCTTCATCCTTACCACGATCACGTCTCTTTACTGTTGCTCCCACTCTCTCTCTGCTAACCCCCCTTGGGATGAAATGCGTTTGTTTTTTGGGGTTTTGTTTTTTGTTTTTTTTTGAAAAGTTGTAATAAAAATGGTAGGCACTGGCAAGCCGAGTTCAAATCGCAACCAAGTTTACTGCATTCACTTTCGGTTATATGGGATGAAATGCTTTGTTTTTGGGGTTTTTTGTTTTTTGCACTTTTTTCTATCGTCAGATAAGAACATTGTATTCTAAATGAATGTAATGTAACGGTGATCGGCGCCAACTCTTGAAAATTTCATGTTGAATTTGGTATAGGGCAAGTGAATCGAGTTCAAAAAAAATATAGCATGAAAAAAAACGATGTAATAAATTTTATCCATTCTTAAGTTTTTTGATTATTTTTAAAAATTTTTACTCATTCTTATCAGGTCCGAAATTTTATTTAAAAATGTTGTTTATTTCATTTTTTTTTTCTAATTTTGTAAACTTTCGGTAATTATACAAAAATCAATTCTACGTTTTTTCAAAATTTATTTGACTAAAATTAGCAAATTTAAAGATTAGTTAAAATATTTTGAAAGAAGTTTTACTTACTTTTTCGAATAAAAAAATTGTTCGAAATAAAAAGTAAGCCATCCATTTCTCGAGTGACAAGTGCTCACACCGACAGTTCACGTGAGATTCGCGTTATCATACAGATGGTCATTTATATAAGATAATAAAAAACAAAAATTAGCATTCCAATTTCCTTAATTTTGTTATTTTATTATTACTGGAACTTAAAACATAACTTTGTTGATACTATCTATTGTTACGAGGATGCTCTATAATAAGGATTTCCTTTGAACCTTTTCATGGTAATCAAAATAATTTTGGTATATTCGAGAAAAATTATGCAAATTAGGTGTTAGCTTTTGAAAAAGGGTTGTCAATGCTGTCACAAATTCACAAAGAATCTCTGCACCAACCAAAAAAAAAAGAGAATTTCATGGAACAAAGTTGGTAAATCGTCAAACTAAAATTAATATTTATTTACACACCTTTGTGGATTTCCAAATATAGCACTTAGGATTACTTCACTCGCCCTAAAAAGTGATTTGACTCCCTTTCCTTCTCCCTAACACTTCGCCAGTAACTCTGTGTTTTTTCTGTTTTGTAGGCTACAATTGTTTATCCTGTATATGTTTTGTTCTGTTTTAGTAAATTAAATATTTGTTTGTGATTTAGCTCTGTGTTGTGGTAAATCATTTTTTTCCTTTGTTGGATCAAGATGAAATCTACGCAATCATTGTTTTTTAATGACAACCCATTTAAGTTTTAAAAACATTATTTTTCAGATTGATTGGGTCCAAATTATACATTTTCAAATCCCAGACAATGACGAGCTAAGAATGAGAAGTGGCATTTATTTTTATAATTTTTAAAAAGTGTAATGAAAAAGTGTTAAAATTTCAACAAATAAAAGCAAACCTTTTGTATTTCAGAGCTGATTTTCATACTTTTCTTAAAAAAAAACAAAATATGGTTTATTCTTCAAAGGGCAAAACCCGATGGTATGGAATTTTTGAGTTTTCATAAAATTAGATTTTATTTCTGCCATGATAAAAAAACATATTCATAATAATTTCGATCATTTGAATTTTTCTGAAAGTTTCATTAACATCGACAATTATTTTTTTTAAAAATTTTCCAAATTAATAGATATAAATACAAAAAAACGCGCTAAAATTTATCTATGTTATTTACCTCCCTTTGTTGCGAAAAAAGATAAACCAAAATTTAGAATATTCTAAAAATATGGAAAAATTTTGAAAATAATTAAAAAAAAATTTGGTCTATCCTCTTCATCATAAGTTTTTGTTTTCGTCAATTTTGGCGTCTTTTCATCAGACTATGGTTTCGTGGAGATAATCAATAGGCCTACGATCACATCATGTTGAAAGACCGGTTCCCGTATAATCACCGAAGTTAAGCAGCGACGAGCCCGGTCAGTACCTAGATGGGTGACCACTTAGGAATACCCGGTGTTGTGAGCTTGGATGTGGGTGCAGGTGGTATAATGGATAATGTCTCGGAAATGCTAATCAGAGAACTGAGTTCTAATCTCTGTTGGGTTCGTTATATTCACTGACGCACAAATACCATCGGGAAAGGTATGAATCCACCTCTTCTCCCTCCAGTTATGGGTTAATTAATAGGAAGAGATAAGCTCGTCCCATTCATACTCCTCCACGTTTTTTTTTTTTTAACAAGTGTAGAGTTTTATCCCTTGTTTCCTATTTAGGATTGGATTTTCCGCTTCTTTCAACTCTACTTCTCACGTCTCCGCCTGAAATTTTCTTCAGTAACTATTGTTCTTTTCCTCACCCAATAGAAATAGATAGGTTTGCCTATCGCCCGGTTCATACTCCTCTCCAGTATTTTGAACAAGAGTAGAAATTCATCCAGTGTTTTATGTTTAGGATTGGTTTCCAGTTCCTTCTATAGTCTACTTCGACTTTATACTCATAACGTCTCTGCTTGAACTTATAGTGATTTTTTAAGTGTAGCTTAGATGTGGCACAAGGCAGAACGTACGGGGCATCCTATGAGGCTCGAACTCACTACTCGGTCGTAATCGCTCTAGCGACGCAAGCTTGATAACCATTACACCATGTCGAGGTGCCCATCCGCCTGAGATTATGAATTGTATTCGTTAATTAAATCTTAGCCTCTTCAAGTCTAGAATCAGCTGTCTAACTTTGCTATTATCTTACCCTTTCTTACGCTAATACAACTCCACACAGTAACCCTCTTCCTTGAGTGGCCCTTGGGCCTTTTATTAGGTGGACGTTAGTAATTTTTTTTATTAGTAAGGCTTATACCACTAAATTATTATCATCTTAAAAAAAATTTTTACAATCCAAAAATTATTTTCTGGTTGTAAATAACCTGCAAAGGGTTGATAAGACGTAAAAAAGAATCAATCTGTCCATGTTTAGGCGCCTTCCTCATCAACAGGAGCAAAATCCTGTGATTCCATTGTCAGTCTTGACATTGGCCATTATGAATGTAAGATTCTATTATACTTTTGTTTAGTGTTTCTTTCATTCGTTCACTTTTAGGATTTGTTATTTAATTCCTGTTTTTGTTTTGATTTTTCTTATTCTTTTTTTCTCCTTATCTTTAACATTGTTATTCAGATTACTTTAATCTTCTATTTTTTCCTTCAGTCTTCTCTCAAGTTATTCCTTCTCTCTGTCTTTCACCTTTCTATCTTTCTTTTTTCTTTCTCTTCTCTTGCTTCTTTCAACATTTTTTTGTTCGTTTCATTCTCCTATTTTTTCCCTTTATATTCTATTAATCCGTTTTTTTCTCCTTACTTTCTTTTTTTTTTCTTCTCCTTTTTTAATTTCATTTATTTTTCTTTGATTATTTATTTCAGTTTTCTTTCTTTTACTTTTTTCTTTTTTTTTTTTTTTTTTCTTCACCTTACCCTTGTCGCTATTCTCACAATTTTCCATTCCTTCTTTCTCTCTTTTTATCTTTCGCATTCATTTCAGTAATGGACGCAGCTATAATGGGAAAACTGTGATAGTCTTTTATTTTCTTGCTTTCAATGCTCTAGACGCATCAGAATCAATTTTCCCTTGACACGTAAACATATATCCCTAAAAGTCTAAAACATTAGATAATTTCGTCTATCTTTTAATTTCAAGTGCAATTTTTTTTAACATTTTCTATTGTTTGTTTTTTTCTTCACGCATAAAGTTCCGGTTCGTGATAAGAAGCAAAAATCCAACGCTTTAAACTTTAATGACCATCGTAATCAACCACAGAATTCCTAAAACACGCAATACCTTATTAGAAACTTGAGAAATGTATTTCGAAAACAGATAAATCTTACAGAGTATTAATCATCACGACATCAATTATCGACTATGTTGGGATACGTAACGTTTTAAGATTTAAAATGCGCTAATAGTTGTTGCTTTATACTTTTAGGTGTTCACCAAAATAAGTTTAAAGTTTTAAACTTGTATAAAACATTATTTACAAACCATGTATTTTAATACATTTCCGTAGAAAACATGAAGATAACATATATTTGGCGATTTTTCTGTATATATTTTGATTTGAAGAAATACTGATAAAAATAGAAAAATAAAATGAAAATGCTAAGATGAAAATGTATAGAAAGTGCTTTAATCGCTTGACCATCCGCAGGAAATTTGTCTCTAGTTTCTTGGCAGATCTTCGATTATAAGAATGTGGGATGTTTAATTACTAAAGTGATACCACATAAACAAAAAGAAACTAAAGGAAATCGCCTGCACTATATACAGAAAACATATATTAAAAAAGAAATTAAATTGAAAATTCTCAGCGTCCCCTTTCCTTCGTGTACATGTGTAGACGCGTCAATGTAAGCATCACCTTAGTCCGAAGAAGCTATAAGGAACGAAACGCGTCACACGATCGTTTTTTTTTCCACTTATAGATTTCCCTAAAATAAATATTTTTAAGTGCGTTTATTTCTTGCGTTCTCTATTACTTACTAGTGATTATGACTATATATATATATATATATATATATATATATATAATAGGATTGATGTGAGTTTGAGACGCTGGGTTTCACGCTATTTGCGATCGTCAGACAAACTGATTGACTTTTAAATTTTGTATTTATATATGGTTGCGTATATCGGTGTTTTTTATGGAAGTGGGAGAAAAAATGTCGTCGGAAACCCACTGATACTTATGCAAACATACATACACACATGTTCACTCATTGACGTACGCAGGCATGCATACGCGCACATTACATATATATATTTATATACATACACATTTTATATATATATATATATATATATATATATATATATATATATATATATATATAAGTTTACGCCTAAGCACTTGTCAAGTGCTGGAATATATTATTTATAAAAAAATAAAAATAATAATTCCAGCACTTGATAGTTGCTTAGGCATGAAACTCGGAGTTTTGCAATTAATGTAAGGTAGTTGACTGTGTCGACTTATCTCAATGAGAATCTCCCATGAAGATGCTTCGGGCGTACCCGTGATAATGATAATGTGTCGTACCAGAGATAATGATAATGTGTCGTTGACACCTATAGGACTATGTGAGGTGGGTATAGATCTGTCGAACTATACCCACCTCTTCCTACAAGCCTAAAGGAATTTAAGCCACTAATCACTCAAGCACTGGAGAATGTTACGCAAGACATGCTACAGCGTGTTTGGTAGGAGCTGGACTCCCGACTTGACGTGTATCGTATCACTTGTGGTGCGCATATTGAACATTTGTGAAAATCGGTTATAAAATCGACATCCTTTTGAATATCTTGTTCGTATTTTGATAAATAAATCTCTTATTGTTCAACATGAAGCCTATTTAATTTCGTTTGTCTGGAACATATAGTTACTCAGATGTTCACATTTTAAATTATGTCAGTTTTTCAGGGGCACCTTGCATATATATATATATATATATATATATATATATATATATATAAAATAGACAACGTCCGATAATTATTTTTAAAGACATTTTTATAAAAAAAAATTTATAAAAAGAACGTATAAACATAAAAAATGTCTTTATATGTATATATATATATATATGGTGGAGTATCCCGTTGATTTACATGTATGAGAGCCTACAAATTCAGTTCTTATAACCTCCTGATTACACAAATACATTATTTAATTGCAGTGGTAAAAGCTCGTGCAGAACCAGCCACATTTTCGGAATTGACACAGAGTGTTCTATGAGGTCGACTCGTTGCGCCTTCTCGGACTAAGGTTTTCCGCTAACTTAAAATGGAAACATTATATTGAATCAATTGCTTGGTCTGCTTCTAGGAAAGTTGATTGCGTGTCGTACTAGACAATTTTTCTCGTCCGAATCTATCTTACATATTTATAAGTCTACCATTCCTCCATACTTACTATATTGCTGCCACATATGGAGCTCCAGTTATATATTTAGAGATCCTTGATAAAATTCAAAAAAGAATTTGGAATTTTATTGGACCTGACCTAGCAAGTCGGCTTCAGTCACTTTCCTACCGCCGGAATGTAATTTTCCTGTGCTTTTTCTATAACTACTTTCATGATAATTGTTCTGATGGACGTTTCTCTGTGATACGTAGACTATGGATTTTAGCGCAGTACTAGATTGGCAGCTAGATCTCTTCATTTTACAGTTACAGTGGCTAGATATAACCCTAAGTTCTATGCTATCTTTTTTAGCACTTCTCTCTTGTCGAACTCTTTTCCCGCTTCTTGCCTTGAAGCTTCATCTTCAAAAATTTACAAAGCAATGTCAATTGTTATCTTCTGTTTTCTTAATGTCGGTTCTTTTATTGTATTCACTCCTTAATAATGTTTTCCTCTTTCTTATATAATTTTACACTCAGTAATCTCCCTACATCTTAGTGGCTTTGTTGCCTTGCTTGGAGTGAAATGATTTAAAAAAAAAAAAAAGCTCTCAAAACAACCATTCCCAGGTCTTGAAGTCACACACGCCCTTCTCTTAAACAGGTTACATACCAATACTAGAGAGACGAAGTTGGATGGAAGAGATGGATACACATGTTCCCAAGAGTATTTGCACAAAAGTAAATCCGCTGGCCTCCGCTGGAATTTGAACACGACACGTCAATGCCGTGCCGATAACAACTACGCCACAGCACTTTATCCATAAGCATCTACAGTGTAACCCGGATATAAGAGACCCGGATATAAGAGAAACCCGAATATAAGAGAGATTGTCTCTTGTCCCAAATTAGAGCCTGTGTTAATGTATATAAAATAGACCAAACCCGGATATAAGAGAAACCCGTATATAAGAGACTTCTTCTCTGGTCCCGACAACTCTCTTATATCCGGGTTACACTGTATTTAATTTACGTCCGTAACCGAAAATTTATTGGATTTTTTTTTTTTACTGCTTTCTTTGTTCAGGCTTTTAGCGCAATAACTAAATTGAATGCATCTATGTGACACTCTGAAACTG